AGGATCATGACTGTGCACATGGCTTTATATGTGTCTATAGGCGATAAATTAGGCCATCAACTTCTTTGCCATTCTAGAAAAATAATTTACATGAAAAAACATAATATAGGAAAATTTAACTGAATTCAATTCGTACAAACAAGTGTTACTAGTTTCATTTAGACTCAATAGCGCCATCTATGTTATTGATACTGAATTACTTCAACATAAATAAACATATAGGACAGCATAATATATATCAGACATCCATTCGTAGGTAGATAAGTTCTTCATTATTATCTATCCTAATATTATTATATGTATTATTTCTCAGCTTACAGCTGATTTTGTAAAGACAAGGATGGGTTTGTTACCAAGTCACTTGTTCTCATATTTTATTTTATTCAGTGGGAATATTAGCAATGGGATTATTTTGATTATTATTATTAAAAATATTATTATTATATATATATTTTTTTTAGTATTATATTTATTATATCCAAAGTAATAAACTTTATATATTTCCAATGTGTTATATTTCATATTTAATTTAAAATAAATTTTGTAAAAGTTGGTAAGGTAGATTCTTAATGGATGATAATGGAGTAGTAACCTCGCCTGCGCTATCAATATATGCTGGCAGGGCACTTATAACCATACAATATATTTGTGTGTATATATATATATATATACAATAGGCTAACTAATCTAATTTCATCTTCACCTATCATCTCTCACTGGTTTCCCGCCAATATATACCAACAGTGCAAATGAGGTTAATAATCATAAAAAAAAAAAAGTTTTAACTGTACTAACAGCACAAATATACGTTTTATTTAAGATTTATGGTCAATCCTGGCACCATAGTCTCATACATTTTCCACATCTTTTTTTTTTAAATAATCAAAGATAATTATTATAAATTATGCAGTGTAGGACGTCCTCCCACTCCATTGCAGGAAGCCAGTAGATACGGGTGCCTCAGAACTGTTCCTTATGGCAGTCTATGGGGGAGAACTAAGTCCAGCAGTGAACAGATTAAGGCCAAAATGATGATGATAATAATTATAAATACTACCTACATGACACTCATTTATGTATACACTTATACCTGCCTTTCTGGTTATATCAACATTCACACGGTCAATCCATCTCTTTTTAGGTCTTGCTACAACATCTATCCTTACAACAATCTACATCTATAAATAATATTATCCTTAATTCTCTCTCATTTAAATCTTTTATTAAAAATAATGATAACTATGTGGGTAATTTAACATTCATTTAATACATGACTATAAAAATTCATTTCATTCTTTAAATCAATGAAAAAAAATAATTAAAATAATCACATAAAATGCACAAAATTACCACCAATAGAAGTAAAATATAAAAAGTATAAGATGAAATAAATTCATGTGAAATGGTCACAGTAAATTAACACCTATTATATTCACGAATACTTATAACAATATCAAAATAAAATTGTATTTACCTCATATCCAAATAGCCAGTTATATACACTGTACATTATTACAAAATATCTATATTCTATGATATTCAAATTCAAACTGAGCTAATCAATATGAACTCAATACCCCTATTTTAGTGTTTAAAAACTACCTACATTATAAAAAATTTAATCTGTTTTTCAAATGAATAGACTGCTGAGCTGTATGAGACATGCTCTGTGCCTGTCCGATTTGAATAAATTTAAAACAATCAAATCTGTTTGTTTTGTCTATTCAGTATATCAATTTTCATAGAATTCAAATCTAATAGAAATTCAAACACAGCAGCATTAAATGTGTTGAGGAAACAATTTAAAATTGGCAATATAGCTAATTATAGATAATTAGAAAACAATTGGAATATTAGGATAATTACATAAATATTTTTTTTTTATTAAGTGATGTTAAGTAAACATTAAAATTATTAAAATATGTAAATGTTATTTTTTGTACATATTTTTTTAATGACAAATTTAAAAAAATACATTATATTTTTATGTATTGGGATTAAAAAAATATGTAAAAAAGGATAAATATGTTCAAGTCGAAGCTCATATAGCCTGTAAGTAAAAGCAAATGGAGCAAATTCCAGGATATAAAAACAAAGTTGGTAAGTATTTACATTGAGTAATATGCCTTATCACTGTGACAGAGGTTATCATGAAGTGTAATAAGAAATAAATCATTCGAATTACTATGCATATCCTGGTATTTACCTACATCATTAGGCACAGGTAGGTATAATGGGTACAGCTGTTTGTTATTGTAATATAATCACTTAAGTGATATTATATTTACTCTAAATTCAATATGATATTTATGATTAATTAATTATATAATTATTTCATTTTTTTATAATATTAGCACTGCTATCAATGTTAAAAGGTCATTTTAATAAAATTACAGATAGGTTACGTACACGAAGTACCTCTTACAGGGGACTGGTTTGTTTAGTAACAAACAATGGAGTACCAATGTTTACAACGACCATAATACCATAACGAATGACAAAATGTAATTATAAGCGAAATAGGGTAAGAACAAAGGAAACAAGTAATTTCTATTGGCTCAAGGTTGATAAAAGGTGGTGAAGTACCTACATAACTTGGTACCAAAATGTAGCAAATGTCATGTCACAAGAAAATTCAATGCGTAATAACAACTTACCCGTTTTATAACACTTCAAACTGGAAAATAAGCCACAAATCCAAAGGGGTAATTTAAAGTCTGTGTAAGCAATTCACAAATAAATAATTGAATCCGATTGTAATCATAACACTAAAAATGCAGACAATTGGACGAAACAACAAGCAAAAACATTTGAAAGGTTAGAAAAGGACGAAAACATTGGATTCCATAGACAAATAATCAGCTGTTCGTGACTTTTGAAAACGATAATAAAATGAATAGGTAGGTATACGTACCCAAAACATTAATTATTAAATGCTTAGAAATAAGTTTAATTCAAAGAAATAAATTTACTTTACTCAGTTTTTAGGACTGAATTATTTTTATTTAACAAAAAATAAGAGTGACAGTATTCCTAGTACTATTCTTGATCTATGACAATAATGCGTAGTTTAAGATTTAGTGTCTAATAAGTACTTATTTCAAGTATAAGAAACTGCGAAAAAAAAATTAATAGCAAAAGAAAACGAATCTTAACAATATACCAATTAGATAATTAAATCATGACACTTCGTTTCTATTATGGCAATATTTATGTGTATGAAAGGGACGGGTTGTCCATAGCATATTGTCTTATTTATGGACACGATAGGTATATCAATTTTATGTGTTTGAGATAAGGTTCAAGTTACTTTATTTTTTATAATAATCGAGTGAAACATCAAGTATAAAGTTTAATTTTAAACTTGAAGTATTTTTTTTTTATGTTTGGCACAATTAGTATGCAATCTAATATATTTTTATTTTTATTACGAAGCATTTTTCTTTTAAATTATTAAAAAGATATGTGAGCACACCATTATATGGATTGCAATATCAACTTGATCCTTCAAATCGGATTATACCTCAACATCAGAGGCATTGCAGGTATGCTACCGGTCTTTTAAAAAGGAATACACTTTTTTCATCACGATTTGGAAATACTGCTGCTGGAAGTTGATTTAAAAACGTGATTGTGGATAGAAGAAAGTGCGTTAAGAAACGCTCTGGGAGAACCGTCACTCATCCAGATGGTCGGGATGGAACTTTAGTTTGTAACGGGTTGTACTGTGATGAAAGCAGCAAATATCAATCCTAACAATATAATATCTTTATATAGTTTCAGTGGGTCGAGTCACTACTTTCTTTATTAAAGAGTATATTAAAGAAAATAACTCTTTTATGTAATGAGTAAAAATATAGGTAAACGAGCACCACAATGACAGCTTAGTACACATAACGAAGGACATTTTGCGTTTAGCTTTTAGAAGATGGCGTTTAAAAAAAACATATTTGTTGTATTTGATTAACAATACAATTTAAACTTTCGTGTTGCATAATTTATAAGGGATGGGAATTATTGAGGTAAAATACATAGATTTTCTCTATTTTTAATCAGATTACTATGTGAATACTGTCCATCTCTTGTAAACCACACTATCCTAAGCGAATTTCATTACATATTTACATAGTTACATAGTTACATTACATAGTTCATAAATCCGATCAACCGAAATGAGAATATTTTACAAATAATAAATATGAAACCTAATTAATGTCTCTATTTATATAAATTAAGAATTGGTATTTCAGTAAAAAAAAATGTAAAGTATATATACGAGTACAGTATTTAAGAGACAGGTTGGCAAAAATTGAAACAGACCATTATTCTGAATTGAAAACTAATGGAAATTCTCCCGGAAAATTTTAAAATTTTCTCCTGTTTTATTTTTCATTTAAATTCAGGTAATCTATGATATATGTCATAATATAAATAAATAATAGTATTTCATAGTGAAACACTATGAAGTACTGAAAAACAACAATGTATTATTTGTATTAAAATTCTACCGCGACGAATCAGCTGTGTAAGGTCAAAGTCATAAATATATGAAAAATCCCTATAAATGCGTACTGTATAATGTAATGCGCTTCATGTGGATGATAAAATTTCAAATACATTGCATAGCATCAAAACTATTTATCGTTAATTATATGACTGTAGTGCATTTTGGGTGGGAATATATTCTGCTATCTGATTCAGACCATTCATTTGAACCAGTTATTTTCGTTTTGGCCTTTAATTTAGGCCAACCTGTCCCTTCCATTTTGTGTAATATAGATAATTGTGCAAATATGTAGGTAGGTAAATAAAAGTTAGAATAGTCAAGAGAAGAAAGATTAGAATGGTTATATCTAAAGAGGGAAGTAAATAAAAGTATTGAAGTAAATAACTGTATTTAAAGCTATTTCTATTGTCATAGATTAAGAATAGTACTGTGCATTTTGTCATTTACTCGTATGTCATTCAACTGTCAATTTTCAAACTAACTTCATTACATTCACTAGTTGATCATCCGTTCTGAGATTTCTCAATGTCTGTAAGATATTTTTGTGAATTGGAGGTACCTACTCGACAAACTATAATATTGAAAATAATTCATAAACTGAATGTTGTCCTTAATAGGTAGTATATTATGAAATAGCATCGTGGTTTAGAAATATTGTTTTGTTCAAATAAAAATCAGACGTATGGCCACAAGAGTAATCTCGTCATTGTGGTCAGAATAATTACGACTGATTAATTAGTTCCCGAAAAGTATATCAGGAAAAATTGCTAATAACATGGCGAAAGAGGAAGACGACGACAATTTACCTGATAAAGATGCGGCCAAAGAATTTTACGCTAAATATGAACCGAAAGAGATTATCGGAAGGTGAGTTATATTTTGGTTATTGTTATCATCCAGGTCAATCGTGATTTCCCAAGGAGTAGCGCGATGCCAATTTGTGATAAAGCCACGGAAATATGTATGTTTGTCACATATAATATGCAATTTGGTCTTCTTACTATACTTATCTATTTGGGTAAATATTGCTATTTTTGACGAGACTTTTTACGTATATATAAAATATAAAAAATAATTAAAATTATAAATATATGATCATATTTTAGAGAATTATTATTTCAACAAAAAAAAAATGCTATGTAATGCGTAATTGTTGTCTAAATAAGAAATATAAAATAATGTGCTGATGTCTATTTGTGACCTTGAAACAAAATTTTATTGATAACATTAAAATACCCTTTTAATTTGGGATGGCAAACAAGGTGGCAGCTCACCGGATTTAAAGTAATCATGAGTGAAAATGGTATGGTGTCTCCACTTATGCTATCAATATATGTTCCTGGGGCTCTAGTGAGAGATAATAAGTGAGGATGAAACAGGGTCATTTAGTCCATTGTGGCGATTTTAACAACAACTAAGATGATTTTTAAGACGAACCACTTAATGATCTAATAGGGCATATTTCTAGCTGTTATGTTCCATTATTAACAATTCCATTTTTTTCACTCCCTTATTATAATTAGTCTGTCACTTATGCACATGAATTGCACTGTAGACACAGACTGTTACATTAATTTTATTTCCCATGTGTTACAGAGCACTGTGTCGTTTCCTTATTTAATACCCAGTAATTTCACGGCCATATCTTACCCTTTAAAATAAAATACAAAGGGGGGAAGAATTGTTACTAATCCAGAAGGTAGTTCTTTTTAAGTTAAATTGTGAGGTTACTTACATAGACTACCACATAGTCTCCTCAGGAAACTAATGCATTTTATTCCTAGCGATTTTGCCATGATATGCCAACTGACCCTCCCTATCAAAGTATATCAATAGCATGGACCCTTATTTTTGTTATCTGTATACTAATATATTTAAAAAAAAAGGTTACTATTCCAATTTCATCTCATTAGAAACACATTGTTAATATGTTGCCATTCCTGAGGACTAAGGTTACTGCAATGACCATCTACCATTATACGGGCTGTATATTTGTTAGCCACTTTTGTAGTATAAAAAAAGTGTTGTTCCGATATTCCTCTATACTGAAATGCAGCTATGCAGGCATTACTGTATGGCTGCAGAAATATGATTGAGAAACTAGTGTCCATGTAATTAATAAAGTTTCCCTATGTTTTTCTTTAAATTGTATGCAAGTTCTGTGGCTTTTAAATTTATTACAAGGAAATATTACTACTTAGAAGTCTATGTTATGTATATTACAAGATTGCATATTTTAAATGTCTTAGTTTGTTTGTTGTTAGTTATGTTTTGTTGTTAATAACTAACAACAAAACAGGTTTCTTGAAACCTTAATGGCTGAATTAAAATATATCTAATGATTTGTCATATGTATGTTTTTTTACATGGTGATGGACATGGATAATTTTTTATCCCAGTCATGGTGAAAAAGTCATGGGCACATTTGTTTAGAATATAAGTACTTATACTGTTCTTTATTCTAAACTTAAATCTACCTTTTTAGGAAATTTGTTAATATTTTGTTTAGCTATTGTAGCTTAACACATTAAAAGGCTCTTGACGAAAGTAGCATACTTTCGTAATCGCGGCGATTACTTCTCCATGACGAGTATACTCGTCAATCACAGTTAACTGGTTAAGCTACAGTTAAGATAAATCATATTACTATGACTCCCGCCGTTAAGCTACAGTCGAGATAAATCGTAGTACTAGGACTCCCACCTTAAATGTGTTAATATGATATGAATAACAAACATTTTAACACCTTTACTATTTGTAATATTAGTAAAATGGGAACAAAAAAATATAAATACAGATTAAAAAAAATGAAAACCGGTATGTTACTGTCCTTTATTTCCATTAAATTATTGTACAGTGATGTTGAATAGCATATAACTTGCCTCAGGAACTGAGCTTACATGTACTAAAAGAATTTTTCAAATCCGACTGGTAGTTTTAGAGATTAGCATGTTAAAAAATAATAATAATAATAATAATAATAATAATTTATTTCAAAAATAAATGTTACATTTTAAATATAGGTAAAACTCTGCTCCCTAAATAGGTAAATCCTGTACTTTAGGATAAGCAGTGCTCTTCCCTATATGGCACAATGACACAAAATTATACAAATAAAGAAACAATACAAGTTAAGGTACTAATACGGTAATAATTTAATTTGCCCAAAATAATATTTTGTAAATGAAATCTTGACTGTGTAATTTGTGAATGTATGGAATGGATGAGTTATTTTAAAATGGCAGTCATAACCTAACATACTACTAATAACAAATCCTCAGTTTCATCATATGTCTTACTTAATAGCCAATTACTAACAATTCTTTTGCATATATGTTTAGTTTTTGAATATATAGATAATTCCTTATTTGCCTTTTTATATAAATATGGTCCCAAAAATAATAAAAACTTCCGAATAAATGATGTGTGAAATTTATTATAACTTTTTAAAGCTTGAACATCATTAACTCTTCTTTTATGCTCAGAAATATTTGCATCAAACTGATATATAGAATGTTGTTTACTTATAGTATTAAGAATATATAATTTACGGACAGAAAGAACATTACATTTTTGGTATAGCAAGTTTGTGGGATATTGAAAATCATAGAAATTAATAACCTTTAAAACAGCTCTCTGTGCAATCTCAAGATTTATTAGAACTGTCTTAGGAGCACCACCCCAAGCAACTATACAGTAGGTCAAAAGGGACTGACACAATGTAGTATAAGTTAGTTTTAGAATTTTCATATCTGCAACTTGCCTCAGACGTTTGAAAATGTAAATAAGTTTCCTAATTCTACAAGTTAATTTATTTATATGCTGTTTAAATGTTAAATTATTATCAATAAATACACCTAAATATTTTATTAGCTGTGTTCTTTCCAAAGATTTACATGAGCATGTTCTATTGTTTTTTAGATGTAATGGTAAACAAGTATGGGCAGTAATACATAAATTAACAGACGGTTGAGTAGACTCCCGGATGGAAAATGCAAGATATTTAGTTTTTTCTGTATTTAGAGATAGAGTATTATTAGTAAGCCATTGTGTGACTTCATTAATTCCCTCATTTGCAGCACGAAATACCTCCTCCCAAGTATCTGCAGTGAAAAGGAGAGCCGTATCATCGGCATAACATATGATATTACCATGGAGGGGTTTCAGTTTACATAGATTATTTATATAAATTAAAAATAAAGTAGGGCCAAGAATACTGCCCTGAGGGACACCATAGGTTATGGGAAGAGGTTTACTCCTATAATTGCCTATTGCAACCATTTGTGTTCTATTTGAAAGATAACTCTCAAATAGTGCAAGCTGAGTACCCCTTATTCCACTTTTCTCCAGTTTATGTAAAAGTGTAGTAACAGAGACCGTGTCAAAAGCCTTAGCAATGTCCAAGAAGATCCCCAGGCATTTTTTACCCTGATCTAGGCTACTAGATATAAAATTTAACATCTCTTCCACTGCATCATCAGTGGACCTTCCTGAACGAAATCCAAATTGATTATCTGACAAAATTTTATTTTTCTCAAGAAATTTTATTAGTCTAATATTAATAATACGTTCTAATATTTTAGATAGAGACGGAAGAATTGAAATTGGTCTATAATTTATTACACGGTCTCTATCACCACTCTTGTGAATTGGATAAAGTAGGGAAATTTTTAGTGCATCCGGAAAAACACCCTGGCTAAGACATAAATTAAATATGTAAGTTAAATATGGAATTAATTTATTTTTAAATTTTTTAAGAATTACATTAGATATGTTATCCCATCCAACTGAACAATCATTTTTTAGGTTCATTATTAATTGTGAGATTTCATTTTCGTCAGTACTGAGCATAACAAAAGAATTAAAATAATTATTACCGGAAGAAACATAAGGAATATTAAGATAATTTTGTCCAGTCTGGGGTATCTTTCCTGCAAGATTTTGGCCTACATTTGCATAATAGTCATTAATTTCATCAACTGATAGCTGGGGATCATTTAAATTTATAAGCTCATGAGGTGGTTGTTTATTTTTAGCACTATGAGTTATATTTTTTAAAGTTTTCCATAATTTTTTACTATCATTACCAGCTTTACTTAATTCTTGTCTTTCATATTCAGTTTTAACCTTCTTTATAATATCATTACAGAAATTACGATATCGATGGTAAGTTAAACGGATAGTTTCATTATCTGGAAACTTTTTATGTTTTCTATGTAGTTGATCTTTATTCTTTATACATTTTAGTAAACCAGGAGTAATCCAAGGTTTTAAGATTCGTTTAGACCTAGGAACTTTATACGTAGTCGTGTGTTTATTAATCAATGACTGTAGATTAGAAATTAAAAAATTAATGGCATCATTTGGATCGGTAATTTGAAAAATAGACTCCAAGTCAAGATTTTCTATATTTTTGCTAAAACTTATCATATTTAATTTTGAACGAATTGGATCGGAGACATTTACAATCTGATTAAATGATAAGCATAGTAACACTGCTTTATGGTCCGTTAATGTTGATTGAAGTACAATAGTTAAGGCTCGACTCTTAGATTTTAGCATCACATGATCTAAACATGAATTACTTTTATCACGTGTTACGAAAAGGTGTGCTGGAAATAAACCATGTGTTGCCAAAAGAGTCAAATACTGAACTGATCTATGATCCTCACAATCATTTGTTATATTTATATTAACATCTCCCATTACCGCAATGTTATTGAATGTTTTTAGTTTCGACAAAATTAAATTAAGTGATTCAAGGAATTGTTCAATATTGCAGTAAGAAGGCGATCGATAAATAGCTATTATGGCATACTCAGATCCAAACTCCATTACAAGAGCATTACCGTGTTTAAAAGTCGGTTCTTCTATATTAATATTGAGAGTATTTTTCCAATAGATGATGACACCCTCATTCTGATTGTGATAGATTTTGTTTGCACAGTGATTATATCCTTTAAGAGTTGGAATTACAGGGGAGAATGATAACCAACATTCAGTTAAAATCAAAATGTCAACATCTACGTTAATTTGCGCCAATAGCACCACAAGGCCATCAAAGTTCTTACCGATACTGCGAACATTTTGAGTTAAAATTTTTAAACATTTTTCTTTAGGAACAAAGTCAATACACTTTTCCGTGTCACATACCATAGATTTAGATACCTCAATCTGATCCAAATCATCAGCAATATTATTTAATATATTGAATTTTAAAAATAAAAATAAATGAACCATTTTTTTTCTTAATGATAAGTAATGATATCACCGACTTCAAAATCTGAGCCATTTTTAAGTTTTTAGACAAAAAGGCAAACAAATATAAGACCATTTTAAAACAGACAGATGTAATATGATGAGATATATGTGATGTAAGTTGTTGTGTAAATGCATGTACTTTTCTAGAAGTAAATGTGGATAATTTAACAGCAGATTTGCTTAATATGTTAATACTATAATTTACTACATATAATAAAATAAGTAAGATCAAAGTAAACCAGAATAAAATTAAATGCGACAAACAACAAGAAATCTAGTCAAATTATCTGTTTCGGCTTAGGAAGATCACTCTCGTCGTTAATTCTGTATAGAGGCATATTTTCAGCTTTACGAAGATATATAACTCCTCTGGAGGTCCAGCAAAAAGCATAGCCATTATTTCGAGCATATTCTCGAGAGAGATAAAAAAGTCTTCGAGTTTTTTGGGTCAGAGTTTCAGATACAAATATTGTTTTTTTAGGTACTTTCAAATTTAAATGAGATGTATTTAACTTATCATTAGGAGCTTTATTCTTATTGAACTTTTTAATCGCTTCTAATATTTTGTCTCTTTTAATCACTGACGAGAATTCAGTAATGATTGTTTTGTTGAATTCTTTATTTGTATTAATTCTGTATACATCTTTTATTTCAGCATCATGAACTTCAATATTTAGAGACTTCCCCATACATTTAACTATGTTACTCAAGTCTTCCTTCGACTCTGATTTTCCGGTTTCAGAACCACTCAAAGGTACATTTCTAATTTCAAGTCCTGAGACTCGATTTTTACGTTCCATTTGCTCTATTTTGTCCTCTAGAGAGTGAATACGTTTCTTATCCTCCGCTCTCTCCTCTTTAAGAGTTTGTATTTTGGTCAGTGTCTCCTCATATTTTGCGGATAAGAATTCTAAGCACTTTGAAATATCAGTGTTCTGCCTTTCAATATTAGCAACCGTCTGCTGTAGTTCATTGAAACGAGTAGTCTGTTCAAGCGAGAATTTATTAAACATGCTCTTCAATTCTTCCACATAAGGGTTCATGTCACCAGAATCATTTCGTCGTCTTTTACTACGCAGTATTTTAGTACTTTTATCTATTTGTTCTTGTGGAATATTCAAGTCTGGCGCTGAATCATAATGCTGCAGTAGTGATTCCCTAGATGACAGGGAAGCAGTCGACGCCGTTACTACTGATTGGGATGTTGATATTTTGGGTGGAGTTCGTTTCAGGGGCATTATCAGTCAATACAATTAAAATCAGAAGAAATAATAGATACAAAAAATTTTGTTATTTTGTATATAAATATCAATTGCCCACCGACGAAATCAAAGATCAGACTACAATGGTCAGTGCTCAGTTGAATGTACAGATATCCACTTTAATGAGAACTTTAAGTGACTCACAAAAAATATCTAGTGATGCACAGGTGTCTTGATAAATGGACATCGATCGCCAAAATAGAACAATATCGCTTTCCGTCCAGTTACGGCTGACCCCCGATAATACAGAACGCACTATCTCCTTCTACCCTATATAATTACATCAATTTGTCGTTTCTTCTAGCTCTAGCTGACAAAATTGCGTGGATTATCGTAATAAAAATTATAAAAGGGTTCAATATCAAACTCACGCAGCAAGTTGTGCTTAATTTCGATGCTCGTGATATACTTGCGCTGTCTTCATACACTCCTAGTATTACTAGAATTATTATAGTGTATTTCTATTTGTTTAGAGTACTATTAAAATAAACTATTGAAACAGAATTTGTACACACGTCCATACACTACGGAGATCCGAGGGGAAGGAAAAAAACAAGTATACAAACTTTTCCACTTTTTTATATTAATTTAGATGTAGATTATGACTAGTTCGTAATATTATATAACCAATAAGCCATACATACATATATATACACACACACACACACACAAAGTTGAAGGATGCACCTAGTAAAGTATAAGAAATATGAGAGTTCACAACACAAAATATGTGACCTATAAACAGAATGTTATCTAAAAATATAAAGAGGCCTGGCCAATAAAGGTCAGTAATTATTTGAACCCGTTTTAATTTATAAGGACAAGGCAGTCGACCTTTCCGAAGTTGTAGGTATAGTCAGCAACATAGGTAGTTGAAAACATTATGTGATCTTTTTATGCAACTTGATTTATTAATTTATTTATTTAATGGATTTTATTATATATATTTATTTGATGGAAAGTAAACAGCGTCTGTAGATTTGAACAGTACTGACGATCACAAAACATACTGTGACGCCTATGTTACTTTTCAAGTCGTCACTCCTGAGGGCTAATATGTTACGTCTGTAATTTCACTGCTACACGTTACTTTTCAAATTGAAATACAGCAATGCAAGCACGGTAATCAGAGAGAGACAAACAACTAAGAAGACAACTAACTAACAGGAACTAGATTGATCGATGCTATTTTTTTTTATTTTACCTAAATGGAAAATATTTTTTCGCCAAATTATTTTGATTTCGTTTATCTAATCTCAAACTTGTGTCGGTTTAACTACATTTTGCCAACAAGTACTGACAAAAAAAGTACCTAAACTTCTCAACGCCCAAGAATTATGAAAAAAAAAAATACAATACCATCAAATTGTTCCTCCAAACTGATTTAACTTACTGTGTAAATAATAATCCTCGCACTGAATTACCATATAAGACTGTTTGTTTTTAATGGGTGATAATGGGATGGTAATCCCGCCGTACTGTTGGTATACGCTGGCAGGGCACTAGTGAGGGATGATAGGTGAAAATGAAAGCAGGCCAATAAGCCTATCGTGACGAATTCCGAACAAGAATTGTGAAATTCAACACGTAGGCTGATGATGGGAACTGCTAGGTGGTCAACCTGAGGGGGGTTATATTGCTCAATTATCAATGGAGTCGATAAATCTCATTACCAACAATGCCTTTCCCTCTTTTTTAAGCTGTTCGCACATAATTTAATGTATTTTAATGTAATAACTACTAGTTTAACTTATGTAAAAATAGATCGAGAAAGCTCAACTAGTTTCGGGATCAATTCGAGACCCTTAATCATAAGAGGCTGTGACGTGAGCGCGAGACTGACTGTGTGCACATTGTTTAATGCCTCGTTGGCGATAGTTTTAATGGCTAGATACTTTTTTGTAGTTTAAGATACCTAATTGTACCTACTTATTTCTTGTTTCTTCTATTTAAGCCTATGTTCTTCTCCATTCTATATAGTACGTGTATACCAAATTCCATAGTGATTGGTTAAACCGTTAAGACGCTAAGTTTTTTTTATACAATTTAGAATGGCAAACAAGCTGACGGCCCACCTGATGAAAGTGGTAACTGTCGCCTATAGACATGAGCAGTACCATTAGCGGTGCCATTCCTGAGAACTCAGGTGTTATTCTTCTGTAACCTGTAAATTCACTGCCATATCCCAGCTTTTAAACCGAAACACAACCATGCAAACATAATTGCTTCACGGTTCAAACATGAATGGAATAGAGGTACCCAAGCAAACGACTTTTGTACAAAGTCTCCCTCTGGTAAAGTTTACAAACGAACAAATTAATTTTCAGTAAGTATTTAATGAGCTTTATTTTAACAGAGGAGTGAGTTCAACAGTAAGAAGGTGTATAGAAAAGGAAACTGGTCGGGAGTACGCGGCCAAAATTATCGACCTCAGTCAAGAGTCTCAGGATGGCGTGGACACACACACGATGCGGGACGCGACGCGGCAAGAGATACACATACTGCGGATGGTGGCCGGTCATCCTTACATTAGTGAGTGAGTTGTTATGGAGATTTTGAGTAAATGCACAGATAATATTGAGCTTTTAGCTTATCTTATCCTCTCCTTCTCTTATTCCATCCTCTGATCTGTTTCCTTTATTTAGATACTAGCGGCCCGTCTCAGCTTCGCACGGGTGGATATTTTTACATTTTAAACGTGGCCATTAAGGCTACACACGCGCCGGAAGTTTAAAAATGGAGTAACTTCTCTCGTTTTCCCAACATTTCCCTTCACTGCTTTCCTTCTATTGATCGTAGCGTGATGATATTATAGAGTTTACAAACTATTACTCAATGTATGTATACTAAAAAAATTACCTAATTTCTCCAAACCCATTTTACTTTTCTCCAGGAATTTAATTCCTCCAAAATTTCGCGAACATACATTTTTTTAAGCCAAAATTGAAAAAAATATACTCAATCTGGCCACGCTGAATTGCGTGCATACAAAGCATACAAGAAAGATAAATACTTAATTAGTAAACTAATTATAAATAAAAACAATTGCAAGAAACGATTACACTGAGAAAACAATGAGCAAATGAACCTAATCGCTAGGAGTGATCCCTTCCAGGCAACCTTAGTATTGAGAAGAGTAATTATAAACAGTGTGATGGGTTGATTGTTTTTTGTAATAGTTGTAATAGAATAATTTGACTACGAGTACATCATTTATTTTTTTTTCCAGTCGAACTCCAAGATGTGTTTGAATCAGAGACATTCATATTTCTGGTGTTTGAGCTATGTAAAAACGGAGAACTGTTCGACTACTTAACGTCTGTTGTTACACTCTCCGAGAAAAAGACCAGATATATTATGAGGTAAGAATACACTTATCAATTATGCATTATGTACATATGTCTTGTGGTCCCGGCATAGAATGGGCCACCACTTTCTTTCTCGTGGGTGTCGTAAGAGGCGAATAAGGGAGCTTAGTGGTTGAGGGATGGGCAGCAGCGACCCTCTTAAAACATCACCAAAGTCTAGCTGCGGTTGCTAATCCGTTTGCCAAACGTGGCAAATCCCCCCGTGTGGGGGAGGCCTATGTTCAACAGTGGACAGTTAACGTGTATTTTACATTACATCTTTCTATAAAATTTCTGAGGAAGGAGAAAAAGTTACTGTGTTATGCATATAAAATATCTGTCTAAGAAGCAAGAGATGTATGTATAGATAGATGAACCTTTACACTCTATATGCGTTTTCCAATTGAACTGTCATATTAATTAATATTTTTTAGACAGCAACTCATAAATTTAAAAATAAATGTAGTCATACTTAATTGAAAATGTCACGAAATTTATCGTGTTTGTTGTTCATTATACTCGTAATATTAGGGAACAAAGAGCCCAAATATAAATTGAAATTATATCACAGGCTTGCGGGTTACGAATCTTCTTCGTCGAATTTTATAGTCATACGCACAAAAAAACAACTTATTTCATAATATCCGATATGAGTGATGAATGATTTCATGGAAAGATATATTGACAAGAATTACTTACTGTATGATTTTAAAATACAGTAAATAATTGTCAGTGTGTGCCCGCGTGAATATCTATACAAAGTATCCTATGTACTAAGTTAGGATCTATCCGTGTATCAAATCCATTCTGTAGTTTTTGCGTGAAAGAGTAATAAAACATCCACCCATCCTCACAAACTTATATTTATTCGAATATAGTAGTAGGATGACGTATGGAAGCTTCAAATTCTAATTAATAAAAAGCTTAGCTTGAAGTTTCACTGCCTGATAGAATTCTAACTGAGGATATTCACAAAATAACTAAAGTGATAGATATAGCCCGAAATTATCGATAAGCTGAAGTAGTAAATGTAGGGCATATTATTTTTTATTAGACGAAGAATGGTAAACAAGCTGACGGCCCATCTGAAGGAAAGTGTTAACCGTCGCCTATAGACATGAGCAGTACCATGGACATAACAGAGTATACTGTTTCACCCATGATACCCCCCATGCGTTGCCATTCCTGAGGACTCAGGTGTTATTCCTCTGTACCCTGTAAATTCACGCCATATCACAGACATACAAACACAACTGCTTCACGGTTAAAACACGAATGGGACAGAGATACAAGCAAACTACTTTGGTACAAAGTCTCCCTTTGGTAATATCGTCATAGCCGTAGAATACTGAGGGATCTTTATATGTAATATTTGTCAGATCCGTCAGTATTCTACGACTATGATGATATGTATTAAATTACTGAATACTATGATATTATGTCAATGAGTATTAATGTTAATTTATTTTTAAGAAATCAAATCATAACATTTTTCTATATTCTTTTATTTTTCTATATTTTTCTAGTGTCTTAGACAATAGATGCCGTCATTAGTTAAAACATTTTTTTTTATAAAATACATTTTGTTGCCAGCACCAGCCATTATTACGAACTAAGGTGTTATACCTCTCTACCTTGCAATTTCACGATTCGAACCCACTCTTCAAATTGATCCGCAGCCATGCAAGCAGGGCCGATTGACAATAGAAACACTACCTGCTTGCTACCCATGTAGATGTTTTTTTTTGTACAAAGTCCCCTTTGTGGCAAATCATATCGAAACTTTCTCGACCGACTTAAAAAAAAGAAGGTTCTCAATTCGGTTGTATTTTTGTATATTCGTTATGTTTGTTACCTCATAAGTCCGTCAGTTTTTTTTTTAATGGATGGTAATGGAATGGTAACCCCGCCTGCGCTAACGGTATACGTTAACGGGGCACCAGTGAGGAATGATAAGTGAAAATGAACAGGCAAGTCAGTTAGCCCATCATGATGAATACACCTGGAATTCAGCACGATAGTGCCCAGGGGGGACCACGTGGAGATCGACCTGACAAAGTATATTACTAACAATGGAACTGGCTGTCCGCATTACTAATAATCCATTGCCCTCCCTAAGTCTGTCAGTTATAAACTGTTTTTTTTTTTTTTATATCTGCAAGGATGTACTTATACATTGGTCCCATAAAAATTTTATCAAAATTTGTCCAATAGTTTAGTTTTTAAATCAAAATTCTTGATTTTGCTGCATTTGAAGTAGATTTTTTTTGTGAAACACATTGACACGGACTTCTTTACTTATTACCAAGTATGGCCTGTCTTAATAGTAAATTATTTATTTAGTTATTAGTACATATATATGTACATGACGGACTTAATGCTAAAAGCATTCTCTCCCAGTCAACAATAGGGAAGTGTAAGAATACTCGAATGCGGTATTACTAATTATTGATTAATTAAATAGCCAAATATTTAAACAACTCAATTGATAAAGCATTTAAACATAATTATTAATATATGGTAATGCATGAAACATAAAAACAAATATTAATTGCACTGATAATTAAATTAGGCTGTTTATTTTCTTCACCAGTGCACTGCAATCGTTTACGTTATCAGTAACAGCGTCTTAATTACTCACTGCAGGCGTGATCATGAATCTAACATCGATATCAATTCAATCTTTAACCAATGTAAATTTTGTACTGCACTCATAAAACAACAATTAGGAATAAAGTTAAAATTGGGATCGGTTTGCAATAGTTTGCATTGGCAAATTGCACTAATATGTATCTATCAGAACAATATGGAACCATTATGACGCCAACCATACCAGTGTTTCAATTCGAGAGTGTATAACGTTTTAATTTTAATATAAATTTATTGGAATTTATTTCAAGAGTAACTCCACTGGTATGTAAATTAAAGATAAACATAAATCTGCATATATGCATATATGACATGTGAAAATCAATTAAAGATCAAATCCAATAAAAGATTGTTTCCCACAAAAAAAAAAAAAAAACCCAATTTCAATTATCACAAAACCATTTCATTTGATCTGAAACCTAAACTATTTAACCTATTTTGATAAAATCTGTATGGAACCAATTTATAATTATATCCTTTCAGATAAAAATAATCCAAATCGGTTTAGAACTGATGGAGTTATGAGGTAACAAACATAAAAAATAGCAATTCAGAACCTCCTTCTTTTTGAAGTCTTTTTAAAGTTTAACGATCCAAATTGTTTAGTTTATATTTTGAAAATTGCTGTCATTTTATTTTTAACTAGCATTTTGCTCGCTACTTCGTCCACGTGGATGTCAGAAGTAGGAAAACCAATGAAATAGGCCATTTCAAGTAACTTCATTAAAAGTGTATCTGGATTAAACATACATCAGATTTTAAGTTAGACCTACAGGAATAGTAGTTTTTGTATAATGCCGTAACAAACATATAGACAGACAGACAAAACTTTCTAAAAAAAATTGTTTTGATCTCTATTGCTCTTAATAAAACCCCTCATATCAAGTTTTCTTAAATACATCCCCAATGTGCAGACATCGACCAGTTACAATTTTATTATATTAGCAAGACTGGACTAACTGACTTCTGGGCCGTAACTAAACGACACTAGATGCCGCTGTTCTTTTTTTTTTGTAAAAAAAACTATATTGATTCTACTTGTAGAACACGATTCTGCGTTTTCAAATATTTACAATGACATATATATTAATATTTGTATAATAATATTAAAGGTGCGTTTAAAATCTTACTAGTCAAATGTATGAATTTTCCATGACCGTGCCACGGTGTACGTGATCAACGGCATGAACTCAGATATGTTTGTAATTTTTAGGAAATACAAGATTCTTTTATGTCGAAATATGTAATAATGATTAGCACTGTACTTACGATAATGACTCGGGTATCATACTTAACGAGAGATGTAATTTCAAACGATAATTGTTTGAAATATTAGAGAAACTAGCTACGCACTAGGGGGAAAGGGATTGTTAATAATGGAAACTAAAAATCCCATTGCTAGTAATATACCCAACCAGGTCGACCTCCACGCGGTTCCCCCTGGAAACTATCATGGTTAATTCCTGATGAATTCATCATGATGGGCTAACTGATCTGTTTTCATTCTCATCTATCACCCTTCACTGGTGCTCCGCCAGCGTATCCTGTTAACGCAGGCGGGGTTACCATTCCATTTTCAACCATCAAAAAAAAAACTACCTACGCACTTACTCGGATGTACCTATACTGCCTCGCGCTCGCGCCTACAGCTACCCTGTGGGATCAGGGGTCGTAAAAAAAAAATTGTTCAACGGTATTATTTGGTTTCTTTTATGAAAAAATCCTTTACCGCTCCGTCGCCGTAGTCATCTTGCCGCCAGAATAGCTCTTTTTCTTTTTGTCCTCTGTCTGTCTCATTCACACATTCCTATTAGTCTGAAACTAGCGAATATCCCACTTGTAGTATCCTTCACACTACTCATTCATAAACAAATCGATTTTAAATTCAAACTAGCAGTTTGCCGCAGCGTTGCCCGCTTCTATGTGGTTCCCGTATATCATTCCCATTGGAACCCTTTATGAATTATATACTTAAATAATAATTACATACCTAATACCTTCATAAAGTTTCAGCTAATTTAACTGATCGGTTATTTTATAGCATTTTATATGTGATTCTTTAGATTGATATAACTTTTTTATTTATGAACCGATTCAAATAAAACAAACACTAAATGTTAAGTGGAGCAAACCCTAACGTATTAGCGAAAACAGCATTTAAACCGTTTTTGAGATTAACGTGCACAAACGTACAGACAAACAGACAAAAATTCTAAAAATTGTTTTGGGTTCTATTGCGTTCATAAAGCTAATAATATTACAATTTTTCTTATTTATCTGTCATGTACAGACAGCGATTAGTTACGCTTTTATTATATGTATTGATTGATGTTATAAAGAACATTACATTGTTCTCTTATTTAGTAAAACTTGACATCATTTCTGCTAGGAGATATGTTATTTTTTCTTCAACATATACTTTTAACTTCTTTTTAAAACTATTTACAATGTGATCTTTTATATATGTTTAAGAAATCTATAATTGTACATATATCCTACATATATTTGTTTGGCTAGAGGCAGAATTGTCGAAACTTTTTTTTATTCAACTTAGAATGGCAAACAAGCTGACGGCCCACCTGATGGAAAGTGGTAACCGTCGCCTATAGACATGAGCAGTACCATGTACATAACAGAGTGTACTGTTTCGCTCATGATACCTCCCATGCGTTGCCATTCCTGAGGACTCAGGTGTTATTCCTCTGTACCCAGTAAATTCACGCCATATCCCACCCTTCAAACCGAAACACAGGCATGCAAACAGCTGCTACACGGTTGAAACACGAATGGGACAGAGGTACCCAAGCAATCGACTTTTGTACAGTCTCCCTCTGGTTACTGTTTGGCTACTAAGGAAACCTCTTTTAATATTTACCTAAGTAACATGTATGAAATTGGACTTTTATACTATAACGTAAATAAATAATAATAATAAAAGAACATTAATAAAAACAATAGAGATTAGAAAAAGCAAATTGCTGGGCCACCTTATACGACTTGACGATTTTTTAAAGTGCATAGTAGAAGGAAAAGTAGAGGGCAAAAGAGGAAGGGAAAGACCGACAAATAAGTACATGGAACAGATAAAGGAAACATTAGGTGTCATATCGTATAGGGAGGTCAAGGATATGGCCTTGAATAGAGCTGGCTGGCATGAGTTAGTTGCACCGATAAGAGAAAATTCTTAAATGAAAAGAGGGAAGCGTAATTTAAATATGGTTATAAATTATTGTAATTCAAAGGTCTCTGGCAAGAGTTGCCACTATAGTAAGTACTCAGCAATGGATAATGTGATTTGTAATGTTGTTCTGAAGAATATATTATATAAAGAAAAGCACGTTTTATTATTCGATGAAGTTAAGTTGGTATTTTATACACTTTTGCTATTTGATGTTGGCCAAAACCACGATGTCCCAAACTTCATAGTAACTAGTTGTTCCTAAGTTGGAAGCGTGTACTTCGAAACTTCAGCTTGTATAAAATAATGAAGGTCAAGCAGTCACGGGCTCTTAGACTAAATGTAGAAAGTTCAGAATTAGTAAAATCGCGATATGTCTCTTTGGAATGAACTTCCAGCAGCAGTATTTCCGAACCTATACATTATAACCTTCAAGAAAAGAGCATACTCCTTTTTAAAAGGTCTGCAGCACACCTACAATGCCCTTGGTGTTGTGGGTGATCATGGGCGGCAGTAGTGACTTACCATCAGGGGAGCCGCATGCTCGTTTGCCCCCTGTGTTATAACAAAAAATGTCCTTACAATTTGATAATAGTAATTTTATAAAAACTGTAATAAAATGCGAAATCCTTGACAAACATGCGCATCTAATTGTCGTAGTCGTTTTTAATTAAGGAAATGCCTATCTATATGTTCAAAAAGCAGGTCAAGAGAAAAATAACGAAGGTCTAGAAGTCACAAGCTAAATATGTAAATTACACTTTCCATATTAACTGCTAGGTGCGTCTTACTCGTATTTGTATGGGAGACTCAATAATCTTTTTCGTATTTAGACCCATGTTTCTTTGGTCAAAATGTTCAGTTTTACTAGGAGAACACTCCCTCAGAAGGTTGCTAAATAATTATTTTTATTTTACCCTGTATTTAAATTTTCCAAAATGACAGGCGGTATCGAGTCCTTAAGTCTAAGGCGAGACTTGCCTTCCTTTTTGTGTTCTACCACTTGTATAGCGGAATATGTTCTGAGGATTGTTTGAAATGATGCCCACAGCCACCGTTTATCATACCGCTCTCCATCGACAAGGAATTCATCTTCTCACACTTAAATCGTCACGTACAGTTCGGTTTCAAAGAGAATTTTTCAGAATTTGGTTAGAATTTACAACAACCAAAACTCCATACCAAAAAATATCGAGAAAATCAGAGTACGGACGAGTCTGTTACTCGTTACTAATGTAGTTTTCATTAGGTGAATTTTTTTTTAAAATCGATTGAGTAGTTTCTGAATGTTTCCATTACAAACAAACAATCCAATTTTTTCATCTTTAAAATATTAATATAGATAAATATTTATAAATGAACAAGTGTAATGACGTTTTTTTATATGCGATTTACATTTGTTTTACACATATTGCACTTCGGTTAGTCAGAATAATCTAAAGTACATCGCTTTAACGTAATGAATGTTATATGATCAAATATAGTAAAAGTAAATAGTTATAATTATATTGTACATATGAACCTAATTAATTGTTTGTAAATGAGTAGGACAGAAGATAATGGATTCGTGCATTATCCGCCTCGGACAAATCAGTTCGCATATGTCCGGCCACCTTAGTCTCAAGTCAGTAGTGGGCATACTCTTGCACTCGCATAAGCTCCTAGTACTTTGTACTGTCAAAGTTTGTGTGTATTTGTATTTTCACGTTATTTCTCTGTTTATTTGTTAAGTTTACAAAACAAGGATTTATTCCAAAATGGCTCTATGCGTTTTCCGCGTCGGAAAGTACCAAGATTTCGCCTCGGATGACAAGAAAATATTCGAGTGTGTTGAGTTATTATTAATTTATTACAATGTGTTATAAATAAATCTTTAATAATATTTGAAGTGGGTAATGTGTTCTCTATGTACGTGGATTTCTATAAATTGAACTCATTAATATTAAATAGATTTATTTTTAATTTCAAATTTAAAAGAATTTATTTCGTGTTATTATAATTTATTTGAGATAATATATATTCACATGTGTGTATATATAATATTTAGACGACCTATTAATAAAATTTAACAATTCTCAGTGTTTACTCCTTTCGATTTTACGACCTCAATTATACAATTTGTCATTGTCACATTTAGATAATACTATTTATTGGCCCTTATTTGTAACAATAACTTTGATAATAAAGTATAAAATATTTAAAATTCTATCTGGAAATAATAATAAAAAATCTACTAAAAATATACCATCCCATATCAGCCGCCCCCATAAAGGGGGGTTTTGCCACAAGTTGGCACGTTTAACAGTCTGGTTGGCAACCCGTTGGTTACAAGTTGTTTAGATTTTGGTGATATTTTAAGAGGGACGCTGTTGCTCATCCTTCAACTATTAAGTTCCCTTAGTCGCCTCATACGACATCCACAGGAAAGAAAGAGGTGGCCTATTCTACGCCTGGACCATACTTCGATATTATACTAAGGACATATTGTATAGTTAAGTCACAAATAAAAATATATTCCCAAGTGTCTGGTCAGAGGGAGATATATGCTAGCTCTCTCTGCCAGTCCTGCTGGGTATTTGTCTTGAAGAAATATTTATACAAACAAGATGTGTTAAGAACACATCATTATTACTATATTATGATATATTAGTCACAGTATACCAAATACTTATTGTGTACTCAGTATACTTGTTGTGTTCCAGGCAAGTTCTAGAAGGAGTCCGTTACGTGCAGAGCAAGTCGATAGTGCACCGCGACCTGAAGCCAGAGAACATCTTGCTGGACGACCAGCTCAACGTCAAGATCACAGACTTCGGCTTCGCAAAGGTCCTCAACGAGGGGGAGAAACTGTTCGGTGCGTATTACTGTGTATATGTTTCCAAAACTGTTAGTTAACCAGCCCTGACTTTGCTAAATATTGTTAAAATTTTCTGTGCCCTGGTTACCTTTATTAAAGAAATTTTTATTGTTATTATTTGCACGTTTTCAATTATCTTCAAAAAGAAGGAAGTTCTAAATTTTATTGCATTTTTGTTATGTTTGTTACCTCATAACTCTGTTCTAAACCCATGTGGAAAATTCTTTTTTATCTGGAAAGATATGTTACAGATTGATCCTATAGAAATTTAATTGAAAAAATAATTTCAGTAGTTTAGTTTTTATATCAATATAACTAATTTTGTTACAATTTTTGTTCTTTTTTTTTTTTGGTGGGGCACAATCTTTAATTATTTTCCAAATAATAAAATATTGCACATATTGCTCGCTGACAAATGTAACTTTTTATATGTGAATGTATTTTTTAAATCAATCAAGTACTTTTTAAGTTTGTCCATAAGTTTGGTATACCAAACAAAAAAAAATCTTTTTTTTATACAACTTATAATGGTAAACAAGCTGACGGCCCACCTGATGGAAAGTGGTAACCGTCGCCTATAGACATGTGCTGTACCCATGGACATAACAGAGTATACTGTTTCGGCTATGATACCCCCCCATGCGTTGCTATTCCTGAGGACTCGGGTGTTATTCCTCTACCCTGTAAATTCACGCCATATCCCACCCTTCAAACCAAAACACAGCCATGCAAACTGCTTCATGATAGAAACACGAATGGGACTTTCCTCTTTAATTTTTTTCTTTACCAACTTTTTGTCTGCTCCTTCGTCCCCGTGAATTACAGACGTAGGAAAACCAATGAAACAGTTCACTTCTAGTTGTCGTATCAGGACGATGCAATTTGGTGCAGTAGTTTATGCGTCATGCCGGAACAAACATACAAATAAACAGACAGACGAATCATAAATATCTCCCAGCAGTGGAAGGATAATGGCTGAAATGATGATGATGATGATCTCCTACGTACAGACATTGTCTATTTATTTTATTATATTAGTAAAATTGATAATTTAAAAGATAAGATTAGAGTAAGAAATTGAATGTGATTATAGAGAAGTGTAGACTGAAAGATGATGTAGTGATAAAATTTTAAAAAGAGAATCTTGCGTTAGTTTAATCATTTGGATAAAAGAAGAATTACGAAAGAGATTTATCGAGCACGAATCAATGGAGATGTCGGTAGAGGCCGCCCGAGACGGACGTATGTCGACCAAATACGCGATGCGCTGAAGAAGGGCTAAATTAAAAGTAGTCGTAACAGGCTAGCATGTATGAAAAGATTGATAAATGCAAAGGAAGCGAAAAAGGTCTGTTTGATTCCAAGCATTTGGCGTTCTAATGTTTCTGCCTACACTAATGGGAGACAGGCGTGACAGATATGTAGTATATATATTATATATGTAAGATTGGTTTTGCTAGTTTTATATAACAATGTTTGGAATTACTAAACAAATGGAAATAAAAGTCAAAACAAAATAAATGTGCTGAATTGCGACATTTTGCTCAGTAGATGCAATATTGCGCCTTCATCACTTTCTGTACGTGGCAATATACTCTACAATTACAATGCATTGTAGATAAGATGCAAGATAGTCATAACAGAGTAATTATCTTTCATACTTTGTACTTTATACTATTTTATACACTTTCTCTTATGTCTGGTGTTGTTATGTTAGCCTGGTACTTCGTTCCGCTCGTGGCAAGTAAAATATTATTATTATTATCTGATAACTAGCTTTTACCTGTCACTTCTTTCGCGTGAGTGGGGGGGGGGGGGGTATGTTCATTAAAAAGTATTAAAATAGCCTATGTCTCTCCATCCCTTACAGTACGCATATACCAAATTTAATAGATAGATATTCTTTATTGTTTCCTCCAAAAGATTACAAGAGTAAACTTATTATAGATACAAACAATTACAAGAAATAATTACAGTGAGAAAACAATGGGCAGCCTTATCGCTAAAAACGATAGATAGTGATTGGTTATGTTTTAAGGCGTTAAATTTTATTTATTTATTATATTGTATCATATCAGCCGTTAACTGTCCACTGTTGAATATGGGTATTTATTATATATATATATATAGTACTAACTGACTCGGCAAACGTTATTTTACCATATAAATTATTTATAGAGAATATTTTGGTAGTTAAATAACAAATAACTAACTTATTGTAAGTATGTAGGGATGGGTTCTATGGCTGAAAGATAAGTATTTTTTGATACTAAATTATAAAAAAATATAAAAAAAAATTAAAAAAAGGATTCGGGGAAGGGTCAACCTTCTCACGCCTATAGCCTACGACCTATTTTCAGACCTATCAAATACACACAAAAAACGTGATATGAGATTTTATATACAGTAAAATCTTGATTATTCGAATCCAATAAAACGAATCAAATAATACGGAATACTCCTGTATTCCGTATAATCGAAAATCCGGATAATCGATCTCAATACCAAATCGAACAATAATTAAATTTTAATATGTATTTATTTATTATGTAAAGAGTTGTACACACGTCATTATTAGTGAATACGATATAAAAAATTACGAGCTATAAAGATAATGGATTACATTATACCTAATTATTACACAATGCCATTTCTAAACCAGTAATTAGAATTGTGAAAAATAAGTCCGGATACTCTAATATTCGGATAATCGGTATTCGGAAAATCGAGTTGATACTATGTATTGCTTTGGTTATTATCAAAATTGGTTCCTAAACGGTCGTGTAATTGCGTAATGTAGACAAAAATTACAAACTTTTTTAAATCTTTTATAAAGCTTCTCAGGATAGTGGCGAAATAATATCTGTATTCAGGGCGTATCTGTCAACTCACAATGCTCTTTGTTCCGCGTATGTATTGTGTACAAACTAGATGTAATGCAGATACTTCGATTTGACGCGCGGCCGCTGCACGGGCAGGTACCGGCAGTGCATCATGTGCACCGGAGCGTGACTGCTGTTTCACAATGTCGTTATCATTCCAAGTCAATCTTGTGGTGTAATGGATGTTTCGTACCATTTTTCTTACTTGAGACAGTTATCTATATATAATTAAACGGTTTTTACTAAAAATCAGACAGCAATTTAAAAATAAAAAGTTGTAAAGGATATTAATATAAAAAATAATTATATTTTTACCAGAGGGAGACTTTGTTCAAAAGTCGATTGCTTGGGTATCTCTGTCCCATTCGTGTTTTAACCGTAAAGCAGTTGTGTTTGCATGGGTGTGTTTCGGTTTGAAGAGTGGGATATGGCGTGAATTTACTGGGTACGGAGGAATAACACCTGAGTCCTCAGGAATGGCAACACATGGGGGGTATCATGGGTGTCCATGGTACTGCTCATGTTTATAGGCGACAGTTACCACTTTCCATCAAGTGGGCTGTCAGCTTGTTTGCCATTCTAAGTTGAATAAAAAAAAAAAGAAAAACTTTCAATTAAAAAAGAAATATTAAAATCGTTTCGCAGTTGGGAAAATGTGGTCACTAAATTTATTTTGCAGAAATAGTAATTGAGATAATTAATGACCTTATTAATTGACTTCAAAAAGAGTAAGGTTTTTAATTCGGTTGTATTTTTTATGCAACCTCATTAAAAATGAACTCTGTTAGATATAAACCGATTCAGATTTTTTTTATTATTTATCTGAAAAGATATTCTTACAAATTCTTCCCACAGAAATTTTAACAAAATCGGTTCAATAGTTTAGTGTTTAAGTTAAAATAACTAGTTTTGCCATAATTGATGTCCGGTTTTTTGAGATTTTTTTTTTATTTTACATTATCGATTTACATTTTCGATTTACATAAATTTTGAGCTATCTATACCAGCTTGGCTCAAAACTGCTTGTTCCCTTTTCGACTCATGATTCTTTGTTAAAACGTTCAATTTAACTTGTAGAAAATTTTCCTCAAAAGGAGTCCAATAAGTGCTAAAAGTACTTTAAACTTTTCTTCCACAGAACTGTGCGGCACGCCGGGTTATCTGGCGCCGGAGACGCTGAAAGCCAACATGTTCGACGACGCGCCCGGCTACGGTATGGAGGTGGACATGTGAGTATCAACATCATTATGTCGCACTACCTAATTCTCTGTTTTATATCTCCATCTGAATGAATAAATGACGTATTTATCTCTTTACAAGAGGTAGTAAAAAGCAACAGCTTGCGGTACAATTAAATATGTAAGACCGGTTTTGTTTGAGACTGGTGCCTGCAGTAGCGTTTGAAAAGGCCTGTCTTACATATCCCGGTCACGCAAAGTCGCGGGTGAAACCTAGTAATTAGATAATAATAATGTTTTATTAGAAGAAGACATAAAATAAGATGAATCCTTCATTGTGTAGTCCTCTGAAAATGAGTCATAGACAATATTTTGTCTGGGATTGTGTGTCGTGTATAGTAAACAAAAATGAAAACAAAACTTCTTTTTGTCAAACGACCACGCGAATACCGTCTTATCAGTATTAATTATTTGGGGAAACGACTTCACATACTTCGCCCGGAACTGAGCCGCGCAGAGATTTGATTAGAGCCTGTAAACTGTGCAGGGTATATAATATTATTGAAATACTAGCGACCCGCCTGTATATAGTAAGATAAATTAGTAAATTATAAAAAAAAATCATCTCATGTTATTCGCTGCTAAAATAGGTAAAATAATTTTTAAAATTGGTTAAATATATTTTCGTTATTTATTTTTTTTTTCCTTTCGAAATTTTATCTTTATAGTTTAAATTGGAATAGGACTCCAATAATTAACTAGACTTCGTCGTCATTTCATAATGTTCCATTTCTGGGCGTAGATTTCATCTTGTAAGCGAATTGTATTTACTTATTTATTACCCTACTAACTTTTACGTGCGTTTCCATCTAGCTAGCTCCTCCTCCTCCTCCTCTTGTACCGGCACATTGAAATTTCTCTTTTAGTCGCCTTAAGGGACATTCTACGGATAAAAAGAACTTGTGACAATATATTTTGTTATACTCACACACATGACGAGCAATTATTCAAATACCTTCTAAATATAATTAAAATTAAAAAAATATATAATGTTATAATATATAGGTAGGTAATGTTGTAATATATTTTAGGTACATGCATCAACATATTTTAATTTTTCATTATTATACAGTTTCTTAAAATAATATCACGTTATTTTTTCTTCAACATTTAAGCAAACGACAAATGAATGTTACTTTTTATAATTAAAGTTGTATGTTATAATTATCAATATTAATTTATGTTTACTCTGTGATAATCAAATATTTGTTGCGTTTCAGCTGGGCCTGTGGTGTCATCATGTTTACACTGTAAGTAATTTTAGGTTAATGTCTTCTTTAGTTATGTTGCCTTGGTAGTTATCTCATTTCGTACCAATCAATATTTACTGAATTTATCAAATTTAAAAATAATTAATAATTATTGGTATAAAATTTAAAACGAAAGTGATAATACTAGAAAGAATAACAAATCCAAAATTAAATTTATTAAATTCTAAAATTCAATAACTTGTTCTTAAAAATAAGTCGCAAAATGAAAATTATTTTTATACCTTATATTTTTTTACAAAACATTGAATTATTATTTACACAAAAGTTATTTTTTATACACCACTGAGCTAACAAATAAGCATACGGCCCACGTAATGGTAATTGAATTTCAGTAGCTTTTGTGTGAAAGAGTAACAAATATCTATCCTTCTACATACCTTCATGAATTTTGTCATAATTTAAAATAGGTTTTTTTATGCAACTTAGAATGGAAAGCAAGGTTTCTAATAACATTTTATAATTCATATTGCAGGCTGGTGGGTTGCCCGCCTTTCTGGCACCGAAAGCAGATGGTAATGCTTCGGAACATCATGGAGGGAAAGTACTCCTTTACCAGCCCTGAGTGGGCTGACATATCAGGTTCGGATGGTTGTTTATTTTTTTAACATAATTTTTTTTGTTATCAGTTTAAAAAATCTAGCGGGGTTTTATTATACTACATGAAGTGCATCAAAAGTTCTAAATTTTAAATTATAAAGACACATACATGCATATATACCTATATACATACATATCCGTTATACTTGTCTTTCATTGGGTAGGTAGAAGCAATGGAAAGAACTTTATTTTGACTTTACCATAGAATGAAAAAACTTACGCATATATTTTTGAAGTTAATTTTAGATACTAAAACAAACTGGTTTGAATATAATTTATCTATACTGATTATAATTTATTTTTTATAACTGTTTCCTGCGGCTTTTCTCGCCTGAATCATTATGTAAAGTATCCTGTATTAAATTGGGTTATGACCTACCGTGTACAAAATTTCATTCAATTGTATTCAGCAGTTTAAATATGCTTGAATAACAAACATACAAACATCACTTTTATAATATTAGTGGCATATGTCCTATATATAATGGACGCTTAAAATACTAAACGAGTTACTAATTTCGATTGTGTTAAGTTGAAATGTCATTGTTTATTCAATATATTGATTTTATTTATTTTTTTTTTAAATTGTAATTACAGATGATCCCAAAGATCTTATCAGACGGCTTTTAGTAGTAGAACCAAACCAGAGGATTTCTTTAGACGACGCGCTCAACCATTCGTTCTTCAACCCTGTGGTGAGCCATCTACATATGTTTTATGTGTTCCTGGTACATAAAAGACAAATCATTTATATTATGTTGGTTTATAAGAATTACTTATATGCTTAATTAATAAAAATTATTTTTATAATTAAACAAAATATTTGGAGTGAATTAATAAAACTTCTTTTTTTTATATATAACCAATATTTATAGATATGAATGATTTGGAAATAGTTATATTTTTTAATCAAGCTATAAGCTAGCGTTAAATGTAACGTACTAAGTACTTTTTTTATGATTTTTTTTTTATTTTGTTTTAACACAGTACAGAAACTCAAAGCCAATATTTAATATTTAAAAAATATTGAAGAAAAATATCGAACAAAACTAGCCATCATTTAATATTTTTTCTCACCACTTTTGTTTATACAGTCTAACTTACAGCTTTGTGTCTAATGCAATGAAGCAATAACTTTAATTTCCGCTTTTTTAATTTTATTAAACAAAACATAGCAACACTAGAAGCTGGCTCTTAACGCACTTTTATTCTTTGCTCTATCACGCCTACTGATCAGCTGTGCCCGATTTAGCAATTTTATCGCCCTGGCAAAAAATATTCGCCGCACTGGGTAAAAATATTTGGCACTCCGGTAAAAAATAATCTTTGCCGCCGTTTTTAAGGACCAGCTGGCCTCATTTTGGCCCCTCTCGTCCCTACTAAATCGGGCACAGTTGATAACTTTAAATTATTTTATTAGCATAGCATAAATACATTATCAGTTGACGCTACAACTCGTACAATGTACATATTCTTCGCTCCTGGTAGTTGTGGGACCAGGATATGACGCCGCTCAAGAGGTCGCTGTCTTCTAGCAGCCGCAGGATGTCTAGGATCGACCAGTTGACAATGGTAATATTTGTGTGGCCAAACGAAATGGGGAATACGCTATCTCGATTAGTTTTTTTTTTAATGGGCACGTTAAATTTTAAGATTAACAACGTATGATGTAGTGAACGCGATAGCGAAAAGTAAATAATATGTTCATGACAATAATGTTTTATGAGGTGTTTTTTTATGGTATCATGTTGGAATGATTACTCCACCTGCGCTATCGGTATACGCTGGCGGACTTAAAGTAAATGAAGGTAGGCGAGGACGAAGTTATCGGGATTTTCTCTGGGAATCAATCTACGTTTAAAAGGGGCCTGTTTGGACGTCGACCTTATACCAATGAGGCCCCCTTCTCTAATAGGGTAGAAGCATTTATGAATAGAAATCGGAAACAAATAGAGCGAGATAAAATATATGTTAAGCATCGCTAAATTTAACTGTACAGTATATGGCAATTTGCTCTTTTTGCCAATATTCATAAAAACCCTTATTCATATAAACATCAAGCCTTGGTAAACCTACTTTAGGCTATTGAACTGTTTTGTCTCTTTCTTTTGTGCTAAATTGCTAATTTGAAAGTTTGTAATGGATAAATTCAAAAACTACTTAAGTAATTTAAAAAATTCCTTTACTTATAGAAGCTATATCATCAGCCAGTAACATAGGCTATATATTATTTTCGAAAATTTTATCTACCCGTACGAAGCCGGGATGGATTACTAGTAACTTATATTTGTTTCTCTATTATCATAATAGAGTTAGATTTCGCTACCGCAGTTCATGGTCTCTGCGTATTTTTGGGGCAAAAGAGTGTTAAGCATATTAGTCTAATAGTTGATTTAAAACTTTAACTGAATCTTGATAGCGATTTTAAACACTAATACTATTACACTTACCCATTAATTTACTCATACAAATAATATTGTTTTTATTAAGATACACGTTTGAATGTTGAATTCTCGTTTCAAGTTGGAATTTTTTCTGTCATTAATATAAGTGAATTTGAACTTTTAAAATTGTAGTTTTCTTATGCAAGTAATTACTAATAAGTACTTATAAATGCTATATAACTTAAAAATAAAATTGTGTTCCACTAAAAAAATCGGTCTAAATTTTGGCCAAATCAGTTATTTTGATTTCAAAACAAAAACTGCTGAACTGATTTTGATAAAATTACTATGGGACATATGTAAGTATATCCTTTTACATAATAAAAGAATTTTCCAAATCGACATCGTTACCTGTAATAAGTTTACAACTATAATCTTTTGGAGAAAACAATAAAGAGTATCTACCTACGTTTTAGTACCACTTTTTCTATAGTTTTAACAGCTGTCACTCTCGTCATGCTATATACAGAGTATAACAACAAAACCACAGACATTAGTACTTTTGATACATTTTTTTAATTTTTATTTACATACCGTTTTGGATTTTACCTTTACTAACAGTGACACATTCACAAAATGCTTAATTGGCTTTTGTTTTTGTTTTTATTGCATGAACTTGTTTTTGCTATTTACAAATCAGCTTGGCTTTCTTTATAAGTAATAATTTATTTAACAAAATATTTTTCCTAATCCAAATGTTTTTTGAAATTGGTTGAAATAACAGTAGGTCTTTTTCGAAAAGTAAGTTTTTTTAAATTATTTTGAAAATTATTTTCGCAGTTTATTGAGTTCATCGCCGTACTATGAGTAATTCCAGATTTATTTTGTCACGATTGACTATTTTGAAAAAAGGGCATACTATATTTATTTACATGGCATAATTATATATTTAGAGTGTTCGTAACTTTAGCTTACTGAAGTGTGACAACCTCGCAGTTATCTGCCAATTTTCAAAAATAATTTAATAATTTTCCATGTTTCAGAATATTCATAAAGCTCTCTGTTGCCGAATTAAAACATTAATCGTTAAATTATATTCTTATTAAGCTGTTACGGAAAAATTTTGATTTTGATGCCAAAAACATATTTGATAAATTCTAAAATTAAATATTAAGTAGATGCACAGTTATTAGTTATAGATTCCATCATCATTATTTCAATCTTTAACTGTTCACAGCTGAACATAAGCCTTTCCCATAAGGGGAGTTTTGCCAGTATTTGCCACGCTTGGCAGGCAGGTTGGCAACCGCTGTTAGTTAGTTGTAGATTTATATGCAATCTATACTATAATTAACGTTTTAGTTCGTTAGCAGAGCGCTTTTTAAACAATCAGGCAAAAACATCAAAAACTGTTAAATTATTATTGAAAATTAGCAGTTAAATGTGACGTTGCCAAACTTTGCTAAGGCTAAGTTGCAAGCGCTCTTAAGTGTGGGGCAGGACCGCAAAGTACAGCCATTAACTATATACTAAAACAACGTTGCGCACGCGCAGGCGATAAAGAGCGGCGGGTTCAACGCACGCGCGAAACTGCGGTTGGGACTAGTGACGGTTCGCGCAGCCGTGCGCCTCAGCCGCCTGCCGCATACAGCCGCGCGCGACTTGCCGTTGCACGATGCGTTGCGCGACCCCTATACCACGCGTGTGCTGCGCAAGGTACTATTTTTTTTAATGGCTTTTACGGCTCTGGGTACTAGCCCTTTAGAGCCTTCCGCAAGGTACGGACATACAGAGTTGCCAGATGCTACTTTTTATTTTCAGTCAAATGTCAAATAGTTTTTTTTTTTTCCAAGTCATTACCTAATCATAAACTTGGGTCGCTTCAATAGGGATGGGTAATATATTGAAAATATAGTTTGAATATCTATATATACTGACCTAATAACGAATATATTAAATATGGGTGGGTTATTAGGAAAATTTTCCTACTAGAAATATTTCCAGGGAGAACCACGTGAAGGTCGACCTAATAGGGTATATTGCTAGCAATAGGGTTGTTAGTCCCCATAACTAATAATCCCCTCTCTTTCAATTACTCTGTTTATTTATAATAAAATAATTGTGTATTTCTAGGTGATTGATGGATGCGCTTTCCGGGTATACGGTCATTGGGTGAAAAAGGGCGAAGGCCAAAACCGTGCTGCACTCTTCGAGAACACTCCCAAGACGGAACTGAAATCTTTATATGTCAGTAACCTCAGCCGATAGCCGCTGCCCGCGGAGGGTATCGGAGCATTTCCTTGCCGCTCCTGGACTCCCAGTCATTGGTAAGTATCATTCTATGAAGATTTGTAATATTTAGGCCCATAATTTTCTTACTGGGAAAAGGCTGTTTTAATTACTTTAACCAGAAAATGTCAAATTGTATAATAGTTGTCATAAAGTTAGTAGATAGATTGCTTTTGTAATTATAATTATTACTATAGTACAATATCGTGCAATTTTATTGTAACGATTTAATCGAACTAGATATTATATACATATCGAGAAGTTATTAATTTTTCGCAACACTCAATACTGTAGAAGTCACATGGCATGATGATATTCTGTATATGAGCAGCTATTTATAAATAAAAAAGCACGTTATGTGAATGGCATACAAGTTAACACACTGACTATATTATGACGCCGGTGTTGCCACTCATGCGTTACTCATTCCTAAATTACTAAGCCTCCATGGTTACTACGCCTCCGTTTAATGCAAAATTTTCCATCCTTCTACCAAATCAGAGCCATGGAGTGTGTAATTCATAGAGTTAATAATCTATGTAAAAGTGTTTTTGGCAAATAAATATTCATTTCATCCATTCATTCATTAGCACTAATTCGATATGTAAAAAATTAATTATTAAATTTCAGGGGCATCACCTACCAGGATAGCAGAAAATCAAGACGTCACGTCTCGGTCCAGTAATTTGTCCGATGAAGTGTGTCGACGAGTGACTTAGGTTAGTCGTAGAACTGTTCAACCCTCCGTAGTATGCGTTCCATACAGTCTTAGATAAATTTAATCTTGTACTCAATTACTACCGTTTACAGGCTGCAAGCCTGGTACTTACGTTGTAATAACGTAATAGTTTTCTTTTATTACATTTGTTTTGTATCCGTTTCTCATATAAAAAAAATGTACAAATTTAGTCACGAAAGCAATAATGTTTGTATTAATATGTAATTCAGTGATCAAAGAGTACCTATTTAGTAATTAGTAGTATTGTTTTCTCATTATGTAAGGTTCACAATGTAGATGGTATTTATTATTTAGTATGTTCACAATATAAGGATTTTTTAGGACATTTTCCTATTTTTTTTTACGATGTGCAGTATTAACTGCAACATATTTGTAATGTTTCATGACAATATCCACACAAAAGTGAATTGTTGAATAACTTTTTATAAAAAAAATATTTGATTATCAATATTGTTAGCAATACCTATGTTTCGATCCTAAGGTTTGTCGAACTTGACTCGTGTCTCCGTCACATAATCATTTCAATAAGTGACAGCAGACTAATAATCATTTGTAGTTAAAAATTTAATTGTAAATTAATAATTATTTCCATAAAAACATTTTTCATTGTTTCTATTATTAAGTGATACGTTGTGATTGAACTAAAAATAATGGCTGAATCAAATTATTTGATCACCATAGTTTATGTAAAGTTATTACACTCATATACATATTAAGAAAAAAAAGTTCTATAAATAGAGAAAATAAGTTTGTCATGATTACATATAAATATTTTAAGTGAAGACATAGGATTGTATAGATTGAGTGTATGAGCCAAAAATATATTAAGCATGTAATAAATATATAGAAAGTCAAGAATTGCAAATAATTAATATTATTATTAGAATCTGTTATGACCAGCAGTGTAAACGCACTGCCTAACGCCCTTCTTTCCGCACAGAATATAGGAAAATAGATATATTCTTTATTATACTTATAAAAAGCAATTCTAACTTGTAAAAAATAATTTTTCTTCGTTATCTTAGAAAGAGTTATACAAAAATCATAACCCTCCTTTTTGTTTCGCTCTAGTCGGCTAAAAAACTGCATTACAAAGAGTTGTATTTTATCGCAATAAGCATTCCTATAAGGAAACTAGTAAAAAGTATTTAAATACGAAGAAAAAGCTAGCTGGCTGCAATATTATGAATTATAAAATTAATATACAGTAGAATTTCGATTATTCTAGTCAAATAAAACCGGGACTATTCCGTTATATCGAAAATCCGGATAATCGATTTCAAAGTCAAATCAAACAATACTTAATATTAATATGTGTATTTTTTTATTATGTAAAAAGTTTTATATACGTTATTTAGACAATACGATGTAAAAATTAAGAGCTATAAAGGTAATGGATTACATAATACCTATGTACCCTATTAAAAAATATTACCATTTCTAAATTGGTAATAAGAGCCGTGAATAATAAGTTCGGATAATCGAATATTCGGATAATCGAGATTCTATTGTATACTGTAAGTATTTGAGACTTTATAAGAGGGTAAAAAATACATATGAAAGTGCTCGTTGCTTTTTAAAATAAGTATAAATAAAAAAATATAAGGTAAAGGTTTACGACGTATCGTGTATGTGGAATCCGCCACGCACTAAACAAATATTCCATAACTATGTGATACTAGCTCTTGCTCGTGGCTTCGTTTGCTCCCATACAAACTTTCAACTCCCGTTTTATTTCCTTATGTGTTGATTTTTTTTAAATTCCTTTTTAATTATTTATGTACGCTATATAAAAATCTGTGTGTGTTTTTCAACCTGTTCGTGATGTAAACGACCGCGCACGCAATCCGGCGCATTACGCTGGCGGATTCGCAAACGTGATACGCTGTCACTCAGGAGCTACACTTAAAGCAAAAATACGCGAGAACATATTGGCGGACTGATACAGTATGTTATGAAATCCATTCTTTAAAACCAGCGTTTATAACAATAGGTATGTGCATTGGTAAAGATATAGTTGTTCCATTTTTTTTTATTGTGATTTTTTTGTTTTTTTTGTTATATTAAAATAAAGATTTTTCTAGGATTTTTTTCTGAGATCATATTAATGAATACCTACCATGAAATATTTTTCAAAATTTCGAGGTTGCATGAAACACAAATTTGATGTTAAAATTACTTAATACATATCGTTTAAAAATATTTAAAATGTTAAAATATTGTTTTTCAGAATATTAGTAGGATTTATGACGAACGAAATGTTCCGTTCCATTTACTGGGCCGATTTTGGTACGAACAAAAACATGAAATTGAACTGGAAAATTCGGGATTTCATTTCGTGGTAGACCCCTAACACTAGTTTCAAGGAATGAATTTAGTTAATGAACATACTTATATATATTTTTAATACTACTATTAAATATTCTGTGCCACGAAACACATTTAGCATTATTTAGAAGATAGCAGTATTTAGTATCATTACCAAATATATTGATTATATGTGTATTCTAAGACTTTCTATAGTAAAATGTATACAGGTCTAAATGTACATAATGTCTTGTATTAGTAAGGTGCCTTCCGAACTGTTGGTGCGATGTATTGATACGGTTTGTTATGTTTCGTTCAATAAACACCAAAAGATAAATATTGCACGAGTGTTCATGTTTTTTATTTTAATTCTACAATTAAAAGTAATACTTAAGTTGTATTTTATAAAGTTGAAAATATCAATAAACGACAAATTAAGATTGTTCAAAATGACAAATTGGTAATATAATTTTTACCAGAGGGAGACTGTACAAAAATCGATTACTTGGGCACCTCTGTCCTATTCGTATTTCTACCGTGAAGCAGTTGTGTTTGCATGGCTGTGTTTCGGTTTGAAGGGTGGGATATGGCAGTGAATTTACAGAGTACAGAAGAATAACACCTGAGTCCTCAGGAATGGCAACGCATGGAGGGTATCATGTTGCCAGGATTAAATAACTCCAAAGCGCAAATTAAGGGATTTTTAGAATGTATTCAGAATTACTCTAAGAAAACTTAACACTTTTAAGTAAAAATAATATGTATGTATTAACAAGGGCTCTCACTGGTCACTGCAAACAAAATAAGCATATGGCCTGACTAGAATTATGCCCAAAAAGTGCAGATTTTGTCACAAGGAGGGAGAAACGCCGCAGCACTTAATTTGTGGCTGTAGCCCACTTTTACATAAACGATATATTTCCTTTTGTAAAATACATTTACCGAATACATACTGAAGAGATAAAAACGTCGCTACAAAGAACATCTTAAAATTCCTGTAACTGATAGAAATTTAGCCGTGTGGTTCCGGCATAGAATAGGCCACCCCTTCCTATCCTGTGGGTGTCATAACAGCTGACTAAGGAAAAGCGAAGGATGGACAGCAGCGTCCATCTCAAATCATCTCTAAAACTCTAACTGCGGTTGCCAACCCACCTGCCAACCGTGGCGAAAACTGGCAAAACTCCCCTTATGGGAAAGGCTTATGTTCAGCAGCGGATAGTTATCAGCTAATATGATGATGATGATAGAAATTAGCAACAAACTTTACAAAAAGGGCAAGTACAAAAGATCATGGAAAGATTGCATTGTATCAGGTTTTTCTACCTAAAAAAAGCCCGTCTTTTAATAATAATAATAAATCTAATTAACTCTGAACGCACGAGTCGAATTTACCCAGAATCCTTGTTTGTACGTTTGTATTTTCCGTTCATTTAATTGCCTACTTCATTATGCCTATTTCATTAACCCCGTAAGATTATTTTTAAGCCTATTATGGTGGGGCATTACTCTATCTATTAGGTTTAAATATTGATTAATGTAGGAAACTATTCGAAAACACAAGGTACAGAGAAATAATACCTGTGTCTTCAGGAATGGCAACGCATGAGTGGTATTATGGACGAAACAGTATACTCTGTTATGTCCATGGTACTGCTCATGTCTATAGGCGACGGTTACCACTATCCATCAGGTGGGTCGTCAATTTGTTTGCCATTTTAAGTTGCATAAAAAATATATATATATAAGAAATACATATACACAGCATTATGAGATGTAGTATCTATTATGTAACTTGGAACTAGTTGGCTGACCATTCATACGTGCCAAAACTAAGCCTTATACTAGCTAATACCTGCAAAAGCGTCGCATGACATTTCCAATCGACTTCAAAAAAAGAGTGACGGAGGAGATAGTTCTGAATTCAGTGTTTTTTTTTTTATATATTTGTCATCTTATAACTCTGTCAATTATAAAATTATTTGAATAATTGTTTTTTTTTTTTTTTGATCTGAAAGGATATATTTTCTGATTGGTCTCGTAGAAATTTTATTAAAATTGGTACAGAAGTTTAAAGTCAATTTTTAATTGAAATATCTATTTGATTTACAATGGCTTTTTGTATAACACAATCTTTAATTACAATTCGCTATCGGAGCAATTTTTAAATTATAAGTCGTATATGAAAATTTTTAAATATTTTACAAATTGACAAACATAAAGCACCTAGCTACTGTATGACCCAAAGCGACATCGCACTACATTTGCGATCGTCATCCATCTCCACCAGAGGGAGACTCTAGTGTCCCATTCGTGTTTCAACCGTAAAGCAGTTGTGTTTGCATGGCTATGTTTCGGTTTGAAGGGTGGGATATGGCCCATCGGTGGCAACGTATCGGGCAAAACATTTGATGTCCATGAACTATAGTGGTTACCACTTTCCATCAGGTGGGCCGTCAGCTTCCATTCTAAGATAAAAAAGTCATACTCGTCGTCTTTACACAACATTACCTTGTATACAGACGGTGAAGTACATTTCTTCCCCATCGGTTATCGGTTTGAGCTGAACTAGTCTAGTTCAGAGTATTACAAGCTCATTCCCAAGCCACTTCAATTTGCCTGATAAATAAGTTTAGCCTTGTTTTACGCTTTAAATCTCCGATCGCGTATTTTTTTTCACAACAATAAAACATAACAAATAGTAGTACGTGTGTTTATCCATGTAGCAAGATTCTGAGAAACAATATCAATCTACCAAAACAAAAATCGCGGGATAACAAAGTCAATAAACATAAAAAATGGCGAGCACGTCGAAATCGCGGGATGCGTAAAATTAGACTAGTAAATACTGCACGCGGAAATCGCGGGATCGGGCATCCCGCGATTTCCGAGGGTTAAAAGGTTGAAAATCTAAAAACGCATTTTATATTATTTTTGTGCAATAAAAAGTAAATAAATAATGATTAAAAAAACCCATAAAATATTGTTGAAGTTTAGAAGTACCTACAAATCTTCTTAATGTGTCCAATATAAAGTACTGGGGGGAAAGGGATTGTTAGTAATGGAGACTGAGAATCCCATTGCTAGCAATATACCCAACCAGGTGGACCTCGCGGTTCCCTCTAGAAACTATCATGGTTAATTCCTGATGAATTCATCATGATGGGCTGACTGGCCTGTTTTCATTCTCATCTATCACTCTTCACTGGTGCTCCGCCAGCGTATCCCGTTAGCGCAGTTACCATTTTCACCCATCAATCATCAATCACGCTATGCCGGCTCACTAAGTGCTTTTTCACGCTATGTTTGAAGACTCCGAGGTTATAAGATGAAGAAAGCACGTCTAACATGTAATTGTAGAGTTGGAGGAAAAGGGATTGTTAGTAATGGGGTCAAATAGCCCCATTACTAGCAATACATCCTATCAGGTCGACCTCCATGTGGTTCTCCTTGGAAACTATCGTGTTTAATTCAAGTTGAATTCGTCAGTGTATACCGATAGCGCAGGCGGGGTTACCATATCATTATCATCCATTAATTGTAGAGTTTCTAGACTCTTTCCAACCAAATAAAAAAAACAAGCATCATACATGGACGAATCTTGCGTTTTTCTTCATGAGAATTAAGGTATCGGACTGTCCTTTACACTTACTATTAAGGATATGGGGGGGGGGGGGGCGTTGAATTAGTATGCGTATACAGCATACTGATTCAACGCCATAAGAAGATGATCAATCATTAACTGTTTTTTTTTGTACAATGTATTGGGTTTGGATTCCCAAACACTTGTGGTTGGGGGGTAAGGGATTGTTAGTAACTGCCTCATTGCTAGCAATATACCCTAACAGGTCGACCTCCACGTGGTTGCCCCTGGAAACCATCGTGGTTAATTCTAGTGGAATTACCACGATGTGCTAACTAACCTGCCTTTTTATCTTCATTAATCTTCTCTAACTGATGTCCTGCCAGTGTACACTGATAGCGCGGGCAGGGTTACCATTTCATTATCATCCATTAAAAAAAAAATTGCGGTTGCGCATTTGGTGTACGCTCGTGTATGCCAAGGTTTGCTGTTCGTTGAGTAAGCATATGAATTGTGGATTTGGGCTTCATCATTAAGTGGATACTGGGAGCATGACTTCTAAGATGACCTTTTTGATGCGGATTAATGGGCGATGAGTTATCATTGTGAAATCATTAACTGTTCCAATAGGGATAATTTTGCCAGTAATTGTCACGCTTGGTACGTGGATTGGCAACCGCATATCGAATGTTTGAAACTAATTGAAAAGCACACATATATGAATTATTAGACTAACGTTACTTAGTTTATAATAGACTAGCTTTTACACGCGACTTCGTCTGCGTGACTGGGATATATTTACTGATCGGGATAAAAAGCAGCCTATAGCGTTCTCCATTCTATATAGTATGTGTATACTAAAATTCATAGTGATTAGTTAAGCCGTTAAGAAACTATATATAAGGAAACAAACAGACTCATTTTTTTATTTATAATATTAGTAAAGATATTCATTGAAAACTTTATCTTGATCCTATCATCGGACTTTGAATTTAGTTTTCTTGATTGGTTGGTATTTTAATGATTTACGCACACCGAATACAAATGTCGAGATTTGTTCAAACAAAAATTAATAACAACATATCATTTCACACGAATAATCATCATCAGTGTTTAACCTTGGTTTTACAATGTTTATAAATACTTATTGGTGTCAGAAAATCGCATAAGTATGTAATTGCGTTGTGATGTTTTCATACAAAAACTGAAGGTAATGTAGAATTTTTTATGTATTTTAATATTCAATCTAATTATAATATGTTATGGAAATATAATCTAAAAATCCCATAATTTCGATATAATTAGTAAAATAAAAAAGATTTAAATATTATCCATAGATTCCATAACTAGTTTTGACTTTGACTAACCGTTTGATCAACTTTACACCCTTGTGTATTTTTTAAACGCAAGAATGATTTTTAAATGTGTTAAAATTTGTTAGTAGGGGAGATAATATTAGAGGTTGGTAACTTCCGTAAAAATACAATCGAAACGAAAACGGGGGTCCGATATTGCAAAGTCTCTTAACAGCAATAAGAACGTACAATACTTGATTCTAGAAACATCGGACAAATATTAATAAATGTGAATAGTTTATTCCGCTATCAATACAAAAATGATACCACACGGGAAATTGAGTGGAACGAGTGGCGAAGTGTGCGTGGAGCCGTGGAGCGAGGAAGTGAAAGTCTGGCGGCACCTACCTAGCTCGTAGCACGTGCGCGCTTGACACTTGCGGCGCGACGTATCACGCGCTCACTTCATTAC